AAAGCGGACGAGAAGGTCAAAGCATATTTGGATGCTGGTCTGAAGCGAGCCAACACCCACGCTACATCACGTGCACAGAACGTGGCTAAATTTACTGTGCTTGATCACGAGTTCTCTGTTGGTGGCAATGAGCTGACACCGACGCTTAAGCTAAAGCGTAAGGTCGTGTATGAGAAATATGAGTCGATTATCGAGAGCATGTACGCGTAAGCATTGCTCGTTGACAGCGTCGTTGGCGCTGGTCTCTTTCATGTCGATAAATTGCCATCATGCACTCTTCATAACGGGAAATAGGTGTGGCGCCAGCGGTTGTTCCGCGTATAACCGGCGACGCATAAGCTACTACAATACATTTGCACTTGTTTCTCTAACGTGTGCTTGCAATTGGTATTTCAGTAATATTCTTGATACAGGCTTGAATGAGAGGCAGTCATACTATGAAATCTTTCTTCATGCTAACGTTACGTTCAATTCGGTCTGGAATCTATTTCCAGACAATTCGGGAATCTATCAAATGAATTGATCCATTCGGCGCACCTTTAGCTGTTCTGTTGAGTCTTTTCGTAAATAGAATTCAACCCTTGCATGTGCTTCCTCCGATGAGCTCTCAGCTCTCAGATTTGTCGATCCAATCGAGGACATTTGTAACGTTGTTAAGTCTTTGGACAATTGTACGAAATTCACAATTCATTCAAGTAATTGTGAAATATATAAATACTGAAGTATCGATATTTAATTAACGTCATGAAACCTATATATTTCGCATTAGTCCTAAGAGAAATATAAACCACTCCTAGATTACTGAAGTAAACTATATCAGTAGTCACTTTCGGATCAGCTTCTGGGTGAACAGTAATTGCTTAACATCAGCCCGTTGAATTTAGCGGAACCCCTTGAGACGAAACCCCCTCTATGCAAAGCGCACGGCAATCCTGTTGCAATATTGGTCGTCTGTCTGACGCCCTTTAGAAGGTGCACAATTGGGTCGATGTCCTCCTGAGGTTCGAAATCGGGTTTCTTATGTCGCTACCAGTCGCAGTGCCCACATAGACTAGGAGGCGTGATCACATCCCCTTTGAAGCATAATCGCCGCGCAAT